ACTTTTCTTCTGTCCCCAAACGCATCGTTATAACCCCGCTACTACGGACAGTCCCCCTAAGTACGAGACGGCAAAAAAAAAAAAAAAAGGGAAACCAGAAAGGATGATCTTAACCGACCTGTCCACTTTGCTCTTCGTCCGGGCTCGTCGGGCTCGTCTTCAGGACGCGACCAGCGTTCGGGTTCCACAGGTCGAGCGGCGTCTGGCGAGTCGTCGGGTTCTCCCCCCTTTCCTAACTTTCCCTTATGCTTCTTCCTCTCTTTATTCCCATCGGCCTGATGTCCCTTTTCTTCTTTTTGTTTTTAATTTTCTTTCTTTCTGCTCTTCTGTTCTTTTGTCTCTTCTTTATCCTTTTCGTTCTCTTTTTTTATTTTCTCTTCTTTTTCATCTCCTCTTTATCCTTTTTTCTCCTTGTTTTTATTTTCTCTTCTGCTCTTCGTCTCTCTCTTCATTCCCTTTCCTTATTTTTTCATTTTTCTTCTACACTTTCGTCTCCTCTTCATCTTTTCCTTCCTTCGGATCTCATAATATTCATCACATCTACACTTTTGAAAAAAAAAAATCTTAAAAATGGTAAACCTTAGCACCAACGCATCTACCCGTGAAGATCTGAAGTATAACTGGACGTGTATTATTCGTCCGTGTTGCGTCATTCGTGGAAGTTCGTAGATGTGGGTTACAAGGGTGGTGAGATGAGAGGATTGTAGTAGCTGGTTTTACAAATGGGTTTTATATATATATTTCCTTCGAAATGTGACGCAGAACTGGGAAATTGTCGCTAATGGGAAACTTCTATTCAAGGTGAAGTTATAGCCACTGCCCCCCCCCCCCTTCATCACTGCTTGCGAACGAACACACACTCATAAATACAAAATACGAAATAAATACACATAAATAAATACAGATGTGGAGAACGTCGTTACAACACGAATCTTTCTTACTAATCCTTTTACAAAACCATTAAAGAAAAGGGATTTTATTAGCTCTCTTCAAGTGATTTTTAAAGGACATTTTTCGAGCATAACTTTGACCTTTATGTTAAGTTACGATAAGAGGTACTTCGCTTGTTATCTTTTCTATCTTACGTTCGTATCTCAAACATTCACGAAGACGCAAAAGAAGAAAAGACGAAGAAAGAAGTAGAAAAAGAAGAAGAAAAGAAAAAGAGAAGAAAAAGAAAAAGAAGGAAAAAGAAGAAGAAGAAGAAGAAGAAGAGGAAAAAGAAGAAAAAAAGGCCAGACGTGACGTAGTCTTGGAAGAATGATGTAATCTCCGTTTTCTTCCCTCGAATTCCTTCTTCCGTTTCCTTCCTCCCCTTCCCCTACCCTGGTCTCCCCCCTTCCTTCTTCCCTTCCTCCCATTTTCCAAAGCCATCTTCCTTCCCTCCTTCCTCCTTCTCATTCCTGTCCTTTTTTTCCTCCCTCCCTTGACTCCCTTTCCCTTCCTCATCCTTCTTCCTCCCTATCTCCCTCCTCCTTCCTCCCTCCCTCCATCCTTCCTCCCTCCCCTCCTCCCTCCCTCCCTCCCTCCCTCTCCCTCCCTCCCTCCCTCTCCCCTTTCCCTTCCCCATCCATCTTCCTCCCTCCTCCTCCCCCGTTAGCCTTCCTCCATCCATCTTTCCTCCCTCCCTCCCCTTTCCCTTCCCCATCCATCTTCCTCCCTTCCCCTCCCCTTTCCCTTCCCCATCCATCTTCCTCCTCCTCCCTCCCTCCCCCGTTAGCCTTCCTCCATCCATCTTCCTCCCTCCCTCCCCTTCCCTTCCCCATCTTCCTCCCTCCCCCCTCCCCTTTTCCTTCCCCATCCATCTTCCTCCCTCCCTCCCTCCCCTCCCTTCCCCATCCATCTTCCTTCCTCCCTCCCTCCCCCCATCCCTCCCTCCCTCCCTCCCTCCCTTTCCCTTCCCCATCCATCTTCTCCCTCCCTCCCTTCCCTCCCTCCCTCCCTCCCCGTTAGCCTCCCTCCATCCCAGCTGTTGCCCCGAGATGCAGTTTGTTTTCCCGAGGAAGAACGGTGCGCCCCGTTGCATCATGGGAAGTCTCGTCTTACTCGGGAAAGGTTTGAGCTGACTCATGGGAGGGGGGGGGGAGGGAGAGGGGGAAGGGGGAAGGGGGAGGAGAGTGAAATTGGGGAGGGGGAGAGGGAGAGGGAAAGGGAAGGGGGAAAGAGAGAGGGAGAGGGAAAGGGGAGGGGGAGAGGGAGAGGGAGAGGGAGAGGGAAGAGAGAGGGAGGAGAGAGGGGGAAGAGGGAAAAGGGGAAGGGGAGGAGAGGGAAGGGGGGGGAGAGAGAGGAAGAGGGAGAGGGAAGAGGAAAGAGAGAGGGAGAAAAAGGGGAAGGGGGGAGGGAGAGAAGGGGGAGAGGGAAAAGAGGAAGAGAGAGGGAAAGGGGAGAGGAAGAGAGAGGAGAGGGGAGAAGGGAGAGGAAAGGGGAAAGGGAAGAAAGAGGGAAGAGAGGGAAAGGAAGAGGAGAAAGAAAGAGGGAGAGGGAGAGGGAAAGGAAAGGGGGAGGAGAGGAGAGGGGAAAGGGGAAAGAGAGAAGAGAAAGGGGGAGAGAAGAGAGAAGGAGAGGAGAGGGAAGCTGAAATAGTGTATCAGAGTATTTAATCGTATCTATGGATCTGTAAATGGAACAAAAATGTATATGCGTTTTTCCTGTTGATTTGGCATTACTTGTCGCCCGAGTCACACTGTCCTACTGACTCATGTTGCAACACTTCGCTCATTTCTCATCAGGTGCGTTTTACATTGGAAAACTCGCAAGCACATACATATGGATATATACTATGTACATGTATGATATATATATATATATATATATATATATATATATATATATATATATATATATATATACATATATATATATATATATATATATATATATACATATATATATATATATATATATATTAATATATATATATATTATATATATATACATATAATATATATATATATTATATATATAATATATAATATATATATATATATATTATATATATATATATATATATATTTACACACACACACATACACACACAACACACACACATACACATACATATATATACATACATGTATATATATTTACATAGATGAATGTGCGTGTTCATGTACACACACACACACACACACACACACACAACACACACACACACACATACATACATATATATATATATATATATATATATATATATATATATTATATATATATATATATATCGCTCACACAAGTATACATATATACACACATATACACGTACACACGAATAAGTAAAACAAGCCCCCGAAAAAAAAACTATAAAGATCATCTGCAAACCCAGGAAGCGCCACAGTAGCACCAGGGTGGGTGGGCGGAGTGGGCGGAGTGGCGGGCGGAGCAACGGCGCCCACAGCGAGGTCGGGGCAGCACCCCACGATCGTCACGGGCGCCAGCGGACAAATGTGCGGTTCCCAGCGCTCGCCTTGCGGTTCGCCTCTGCCCTCGCGCCGCCCCGCTCGTTCGGCTGCTCGCCCTCGGAACCTTAGAAGAGGAGGGGGAGGGGGAGGAGAGGAGGGGGTCGGGGGGGGAGGGAGGAGGGAGGGGGAAGGAGGGAAAGGGAAGAGGAAGGAGGAGAGGAGGAAGAGGAGGAGGGGGGGAGGAGAGGGATGGGGGAAAGGAGGGAAGGAGGAGGAGGAGGGAGGAGGAGAGGAGGAGGAGAAGGAGGAGGAGGGAGGAAGGGGAGGAGGGAAGGAGAAGGAGAAGGAGGAGGGGAGAGGAGGAGGAGGCGAGGGGCGCGGGACCGTGAAAGGAGTCCGAGGGATTACCTGCAACATTATTTGGATAAGACCGCTACCTCCATCCCTGACCCATGGCCCGCGTGTTTGCTTATCCGCACCGACATTAGTACTGTTCTTCACGCAGTATAGAAGTACACACTCATTGCCTTGCGTTGCGTGATCTCTAGTCTGACAAATGACACGTTTGTGCGTTCGCTGCTACACTTGACGGAAGCATGATACTAAAGAATAAAGGGTAAAGATAACAGTGATGTTTAACTGCTCAGATAACGTCTATTCTTGATTCTGAAGAGCACGAAAATTGTCTGGAGTACAACGTCTAATAAAAAAAAAAAGCGATAATGTAAATGATCTTAGTACTGAGTTAACGGAATTACAGTTTAAGAGGAAATTGAATGGAAATGCTACGGATTCCCCTTCAATTCAACTTCTTAGAACGTAACCCTTCCGTTTCCCTTCCCAGGCATGGCCGCAGATCCCTCCGATCCTAAACCCTTCTTCCTGATCCTCCTCCTTTCTACTCCTCCTCCACCACACAACACCTTAGCAGGAAACAAACCTCTCCCCCCCCCCTCCCCCCTTCCCCTCCTTCTCCCCACCGCGCCGACGGAAACCCTAAATTACCTTGATTATCGACGCTGTTTCACCCTTTCTCTCTCCCCCCCCCCCCTTTCTCTCCCTGTCATTCCCCTTCCACTGGTGTTTGTCCCTTCCTCTTTCCTCTCTTCGTCACCCATTACCTCCTCTCCACTCTACTTACCCTGACCCACCTGGCGACTGCCGTTACTTGGCCTCGTTGTTTTATCCTGTTGTGCTGACCATTCATATATATATATATATATATATATATATATATATATATATATATATATATATATATATATATATATGTGTGTGTGTGTGTGTGTGTGTGTGTGTGTGTGTGTGTGTGGTGTGTGTGTGTGTGTGTGTGGTGTGTGTGTGTGTGTGTGTGTGTGTGTGTGTGTGTATGTATATATATGTGTGAGTTTGTGTGTGTGCACATATTTCTTTTTATCAATTGTTTCCACAGGATCTTAAAATATAGATTTATGTCTGTATCCCCTTCACCTTTCGTACCTGATCTAACGCGTTTCATGTATATATATGTGTGTGTGTGTGTGTGTGTGTTTGTGTGCGTGTGTACACATTTTCTTTTCTCATCAATAGTTTCCACAGTATCTTAAAACAAAATATAGATTTATGTCCGTATCCCCTCCACCTTTCGTACCCGATCGAACCTAACCTAACCTAAAGCATTTCGTGATCTCATTCGTGTTTCTCTTTCTCTCGTTTCAGGAAGGCAAGGAGGACCTCCACTACCACTTCTACCCTCATAACCAGCACTTGTTCAACCTACCCGAGTGCGCCACACAGCAGGTGAGTGTCCGAGAGGAGTAGAAATCGTTTGGAATAAAGTTGCTTAATCATTCTCAGAAGTAAAGGAGTCATATTTTTTTTTTTTTTTTTTTTATTACGCTTTGAATTTTTCTGTTTTTTTTTTTGGCCTCTTATCCGTTATCGCTAGTATGATGTTGAAAATATTGTGTGAAGGTTCTCTCTACTCTCTTTCTTCTCGTCTCTCCTCTCTCTCTCTCTCTATCAATCTATCTATCTATCTATCTTATCTATCATTCTCTCATTCCTCTCTCTTCTTCTCTTCTCTCTCTCTCTCTATCTCTCTCTACTCACTCACTCATTCAACTGTTGAATCTACTCTTCACTCTCACTCACTCACTCACTCTCACTCACTCTCCCTCCCTTCCCTCTCTCTCTCTCTCTCTCTCTCTCTCTCTCTCTCTCTCTCTCTCTCTCTCTCTCTCTTTCTCTTTCTCTTTCTCTCTCTCTCTCTCTCTCTCTCACTCACTCACTCATCTCCCTCTCTCTCTCTCTCTCTCCTCTCTCTCTCTCTCTCTCCTCTCTCACACTCACCTTCACTCACTCACTCTCCTTCTCTCTCTCTCTCTCTCTTCTCTCTCTCTCTTCTCTCTCTCTCTCTCTCTCTCTCTCTCTCTCTCTCTTGTCTACTCTCTCTCTCTCTATATTTCGGATACACTCTCGTTTAAATATGACGAGGAAATGAGCTAACCATTCAACCATTCTATGAAAGCAAGTGAGATAAAAAAAAAACGAAATGTTTATATAGATAAATGAATGACCAGAACAGATGAATGGACAGCCATATCAGAGATCAGATAGACAGCTCAAGGTAAGACATTGTTTTTTACCGTAAGTTGCCATCTAAATCACAGGACAAAACGACCAGAAACCCGCCTTTCCGATTGCCTGCTTCCTCTAATCCACTTCCCGGACACCGCTAACGTTAGCATCTTCTCGCTGCGTCTCAGCACTTAACGTGTCCGCAGTCCGCTATGTCTGCTAAACTGACGCACACAAGCACGTTTTCCCGCCACTGTGATCGGTGTTTTTGCGCTTCCCAAAAGAGGGAAACCTCACGACGTGTCTTTTGGGATTAAGCGCTTCATTTGCGCTACATAGAGATATGTTATGAATACAGTTTTATCAGAAAACATATACATACATATGTATATATAATATATATATATATATATATATATATATATATATAATATATATATATATATATATATATATATATAGTATATATACGTAATATAGAGGAATTTGTATATTTTTGTATATATACCTGTATGTATACATATGTATATATATATATATATATATATATATATATATATATATATAATATATATATATATATATATATATACTGTACATATGTATATACGTATATCTATATTTATATCTATCTAGCTATATTATATCTACATATATGTATGTATGTATATGTATGTATATACACATAATATAATTGCATACATACATACACACCCTCCTTCTCTCGTGCGCAGCTCCCCACTCTCTACTCACCCCCCCCCCTCCTGGCACTCTGTCCCTCTCTCACTCACTCATTTACTCACTCACCTATACGCCCACCACTCTCACTCACCCACCAAGCCACTCACTCACTCGCTCGCTCGCTGACGGATTCACCTGCTCACTGACTGACTCACTCACTCATCGCTCACTGACTGACTGACTCACTCATTCGCTCACTGACTGACTGACTCACTCGTGTACCCACTGACTCACTAACACACTCACTGGCTGACTCACTGACTGACTCACTGACTCGTTTACCCACTAAACTAACTCACTCACTCACTGACTCACTCACTCCCTTACTCACTCTCCCCTCTCCCGCAGGTGTGCAACGCGGTGTACAAGCGGCTGAACTTCACGCAGCCCCTGTGCGCGTGTCCCTCCGGCAGCGACCCCTGCAGCGCCTCCTTCAGGGCAGACGACCGCAGATCCATCGAGCTCAGGATGGGCGGCCCGCAGTCCCAGGTCAGAAGGGGAAGGTTCCTTGGACTTCTTAGTGTCATTTACTCCTTGCGTGATTTATTCATTTTTTTTCTTATTTTTTTTTCATTTTTATTTATTTATTTATTTATTTATTTATTTTTAGTGTCATTTTCTCCTTGGTGGTTTTTATTTATTTTTTTTTTTTGTTTTGTTGTTTTTATATTTTATTTTTATTTTATTTATTATTTTTAGTTGTCATTTTCTCCTTGCGTGATTTTTGTTCATTTTTTTTCTCATTTATTTATTTTATTTTTCTTATTTTTAGTGCCATTTTCTCCTTGCGTGATTTTTATTCATTTTTTTTCTTATTTTATTTTATTTTATTTTATTTTTTAGTGCCATTTTCTCCTTGTAATTTTTATTTTTTTTTTTTTTTATTTTATTCTTTTTATTTTTCTTATTTTTTAGTGCTATAGTGCGTGATTTTTTTCATTTTTTCTTATTTTGTTTTTTATTTTATTTTAATTTTATTTTTTTAGTGTCATTTTCTCCTCCTGCGTGATTTTTATTCATTTTTTTCTTATTTTATTTATTTTATTTTATTTTATTAATTTTAGTGTCATTTCTCCTTGTTTTTTATTCATTTTCTTATTTTATTTATTTTATTTATTTATATAATTTAGTGTGTCATTTTCTCTTGGGTGATTTTTATTCATTTTTTTCTTATTTTATTTTTATTTTATTTTATTTTATTTAGGTGCCATTTTCTCCTTGTGTGATTTTCTTTTGATTTTTTTTTTCTTTTTTATTTATTTATTTATTTTCTCTTTTTGTTTGCGATTGCCTCTTTCTTTCTTTCCTTTTGAACGGAGGCGGTAAGTAGTGTTTACAGTATATTCTTGTGTGTAAATGTGAACATCCAGTGGTGTAAAATTCTACCCTCCCCCTCTCTCTCTCTCTCGCTCCCTCCCCTCCTTCCGTCTCTCTCTCTCTCCCCCTGTCTCTTAAAACCCTCCCCTTTCCCTCCCTCTCTCTCTCGCTCCCTCCCCCATTCCCTCTCCCCCCCCCCCTTTCTCTCAAAAACCCTCCCTTTCTCCCCTTAAAAGCCTCCCCTTCTTTCCCCCTCCCACCTTCCCTTCCCCTCTGCCCCCCTCCCTCTTAAAACCCTCCCCTTTCTCTCCCTCATAAACCCTCCCCTTCTCCCTCTTAAAACCCTCCTCCCTTTTCTCTCCCTTCATAAAAACCCTCCCCTTTCTCCCCACAGGCCGTGACCCTGATCAAGACGTGCGAGCCAATCTGGAGTGTGCGTGAGTGCAAGAGCCCGAGAGACTGGTCCATCCTTGCCCTGCAGAACACTCGCACGGGGAAGGCTCACTACCTCGTCATCTGCAAGTGCCCGGACAGTGCACGGCTTGGTGAGGACGACGAGACAGGACGTTTGACTGTAGGATCTCTTGTCTAACAATGTCGGCTGTTTTCTCTCTCTCTCTCTCTCTCTCTCTCTCTCTCTTTTTTTTTTGTAATATGACGTCTTGTTACTTTCTGACATCGTGGACGACTGTCATGCTGCTCTAGACGTAATACCGAGACGGTGGACGACTTTCTGTGACTGACTGAACACTGGGTGGCCTTCTGAAGCTGCGGGTTATCAGCTGACGCGATGACTGACCCCTTGTTACGAAATGAATGACTCTCTAATACTACGGATGGTTCCTGACACTCTGATCGACTTTCTGATGTAGTTTTGCTACAGCATGATCGATCTTCTTATGCTATGAGTAATCATCTGGCACAAGGAGTCATTAATCGACTACATGACCGATTTTCTGGCACAGGGGAGCGTGCCGAGTGTGTGACTTCACATACTGTGACTTGTTACACCAAAACTGGCGACCTGGAAACGAAATTGACGTCCTGGTGTTACGATGATTTTGTATCTAATGAGACTGACGTTCCGACTCAAAGGCTTCAGTTCTATTTTTCATTATGACAGATTGTTGTTGTCACAGATAGCAAGACTGATGACACGCTGATGTTCGACTAACAGCATTACAGAATGATTGGGTGTTTTCATAATGCTGCTGCTCCACCATCTGGCTCGAGGACCCCAGGACGGACTCGCAAAAATGACTCTCAGACCCAATGGATGTTGTGACTCACATTCCCCATTCCAGTTTGAACGCTTCAACGCCACGAAACTTCACATTAACTGACTCTCCGGTTCCAGGACGTTTCAGGAAAGGTATCTCGGGGCCAGTGATACCGTGAATCGAGGACATTGCGTGGGAGAAGTTAACCGATTGACGCAAAGTGCCATTAAACTGCACGGAGATATTCGGACACGGCTTTGATATTATGCAAATGGGACTCGAGTTTATGGACTGAACTGAACCGCTGGCCATTTACCCGACCGCTAAATAAAACTGAGGTTCCCGTACAACTGCCGACAGCTTCAATTTATCTGGCTAATAGCACGGGAACTGCCATCATCAGCTGACCACCAGTACACATATACATAATTGTCAACAGGTTTTGCTAATTTCTAAGATACTCTAGATTCATCACGATGCAGAGTTTCAAGGTAGAAGAGAGCGATCTGAATGCCTTCTAATCCATATGTGGTGATGGATAGTAATTGATGTCAATAAGAATCCTTTTTAGGCAAATTAGTTTATGCTGATAGACTCGTCTAGTCATGATATATATGTATATATATACAGACATGCATACATAACTACTTGCCGTGTATGTATGTATATATAATAAATGAATTAATCAATAAATATAAATTATATATATATATATATATATATATATATATATATATATATAATATATATACATATACATACATACATACATACATACATATACATATAATATATATATATATATATATATATATATATATATATATATATATATATATATAGATAAATCCACAATGCACAAATTAGGTTTATGAAATATATAAAAACAGCGGTTTAATCCTCCTGGAATACACACAACACACACATATATATATATATATATATATATATATAATTATATATATATAAACACACACACACAACACACACACACACACACACACACACACACACACACACACACACTATATATATATATATATATATATATATATATATATATATATATATACATGGATGGATGTCTACATTTGCTCAGACTACCAACCAACATATCTGGTCTTGGTACATTTCGCTTATTTCATCAAAATACATTTATCATCTGATTTGTTTATTTTCAAGACATCGTTTAGAGATTATGAATGTAAAGTTGAAACTGTTACACGTAAAAAAATGAAATGCCTAAATATGTCCTAATTTAGTAGATATATATGAATGGCACTTTAACTGATGTGATTTATTTATAAATGTTATAGAACGGATTATATGATTCGAATTCCGTTCAGTTACTGATGTGAAATAAGTATTTGTGATCGTCAACTGACCAGAATCCTACAGCGAAAACATATATGATATCACAATGGACAAGAATTCAATTCATATGCATTATCGTTCAATCTAAAAGACTTTACTAGTGCATAATTCAAATTCTTTGAGGTATAACAACCATCTTGACTTTTAACCCGGCATTCGTTATAATCACTCTTTGAAAATTATATATGCATAATATTTTACATAACTAATTATATAACATTCCGTCGTGGACACCTTGACACAGTCACGCAAAAAAATAGAGCACATCTCACACCCAAATGACATTAGTCTCAACAGAATTGGAGCACGTGACAATTGCTGCTGCTTCAGTGACGCTCCTATAACCTTCAGTCACATAATTCCATCTGTAGACTGGCCTTTAGAACTCTTATTGACAACGACTGAGTACCTGATGTGTGGCTCGTAGATCTTTTTTTTTTTAAACCGACAACAGCGATTTAACCTCAAGACAAACCGCCACAGAGCTCAAGATTTCGTGAAATGGCGACACATTTCGACATAAGACCAGATACTCGACCATTTTTTTTTCATCGCAGCTGCCCTGACTCCTCACGTAGCCCCAAGTCACTCAAAACTTTACGAAACTGCAACTGAAACCGAACCGTGACTGTAGATGTGAAGCCTGAGATTAGAGAACCGTTGATGAATCGCTGCCATGACTCAGGAGATTACTCAGTCTTCTTGACCAATGACCGATATATCAGAAGGGGAGTTCCTGATGACTTCGATGACTCAGATACTCCACTGACCATTCCCCAACGTGCAGAGTATCATGCAACGTGCTCAGTGCCATGCAGCGGCTGATTCTGTAAACGGCGACACCAAACATACAGATCACATGATTAACCTGAAGGAGTGAGATACCTTCCAGATTGGTGGAGTGAGGATGCATTTCCACACCGATACCTGAAGCCGAGAGAATGAGAGCCCGTGAGAAAATTCGGATGATTCAGTAAGTATGCATCAGAAGGAGGCGAAGGCAACACGCGGAATAAGAAGGGAAATGAAAACGGAAGAGAAAATAATAGAAAAACACATGCTAAACGGCTCGAACCTTTGCCGTGGTAAGAAATTCACTGGTAAATCGCACCCAACCACGCTGGGAAGTTGGACCAAAGCTTTGTGAAAGGTCTCTGTGCCTTTTCGTTCACGCGTGAGTAAGTATGCTATAATTTCCAATATTGGTCGCAGAAAAAAAGATGGTTTGTACGTCCATTTCCTTTTCATATGGAACTTCTCCATAATTATATACATGATATCCATACCTCCAACAATGTGAATCTGGATTTGAAAGACTATAGTTATCGAAATCACTTTTGCCAGTGCTCCCAACACCCAAACAAAACCCCCCAAAAAAGTGAATACATCCTTTTTTCTTCTTCTATTTCCCAACATAAACCAAACACCCCATTTCTCCCTGTGCAGACGGACCCCTCAACCACGACCAGCCCGCCTACGCCCAAGTCCCAGGCATCCGAGTCTATGGCATGATGTGTATTCGCAGCAGTTTCCGCCGCGCCGGCCGTGTGGCGAGAGGTGAGCTGGATGGTCTGTGACTTTTCGTCTATTTTTTTCTTTCCTTTCTTTGATATCGTGTGTTTTTGTTTGTTTGTTTGTTTGTTTGCTTTGGGATGGTGTGAGCTGGAGGGTCTGTGACTTTTCGTCTATTTTTTTCTTTCCTTTCTTTGATATCGTGTTTTTTTTCGGTTGTGTTGGGTGTGTTTTGGGTTGTTGTTGGTTGGCTTCGTAATTGGGGAGAAAAATCTAAAATTATGCCAGTATTTTGATATTAATTTCGATATAAAGTTAGTCACAAGTACATACTGCTGAGCCTATACGATAATACAATAAGTATATGTAATAGCTTAACGTAGAACAATTGATATAGTTAATAAAAATATTTAATTATGTAGTTAATAAAATGTATAATTATATAGTTGATAAAAAATATAATTATATAGTTAATAAAAAATTATAATTATATAGTTAAATGAAAAATATAATTATATAGTTAATAAAAAGGTATATAATTATAGTTAATAAAAAGATATATAATTATAGTTAGTAAAAAGGTATATAATTATATAGTTAATGAATTATATAATATAAATTAGTTATATGAAATATACAGTTAATCTAGTCAGTGAAATATATTAATAAAAACATAGTACATGAATATAAATAATATAAGTAATGTAAAGCAGTTGATCAGATCAGATCCTTCAAAGCAACCCCCGCCCACAGACAGCAGGTTGGCCTTCCCGTGGGGGCGTGTGTCTGAAGCCCTCAAGGACGAGAAAATCCTCCAGGACCTCTTAGCTGACGCCCCCTACGCCCACGCCCCCATCTTCTAGACACGCCCACCAGCCACGCCCACGCCCGCCGCGCCTCCTGGGGGTGGGCGTGGCCGCGGCAGTACCCTCTCGGACCGTTTCGTCAAGGACATGCTGGCGTGTCCTTTTTTAGTCATGAATTTCTCTTCAGGCGGGAATCCTTTGGTGTGACGGACGTGTGACTTCCGGGACTCGGCGCTGAGGAGGTCACGTCCTTGACCTTGTCTTCTCCGGCGAGGTCGAGTCCCTGGAAGGTCATTTTTTTTAAAGAGATTGTCTCCCTGACCTGGTCTTGGAAGGGGCTGGCGAGGGACAGCTGTATATCGTTCATTGGGGAAAACTGAGGGAAACTATGTCATTTAGTTTCATTGTTTTTTTTTTATCTATTGATAATTGAGAGAAAAAAGTTGTATTTCTATTCTAGTATTTCCTATTATAGAATTATTATCCGTACTTCTCTGCAGTCTTTGTAAATTATAAAACAAATACGAATAATATATTTATTATATTTCTTTTTTTTTTGTATAAAAAGGGTTTTTAATGTCATCTCATGTGTTACGGCAATAACGTAAATTAACCGAAATTTCCCTTTACCTATAACAGGAAACTAATTGAATTTTTATATGTGTGTATTTTCCATTACCTATAACAAACTAATTATATATATATATATATATATATATATATATATATATATATATTATATATATATATATATATATATGTATGTATACGTATTCAAAGAACAGCCGAATAACACATTGAACACAAATGACATTCTGTTTTCGATCTCTCTCACCGAGCCAGTGAGCTCAACCCTAGTTTATCTGTGATGCAATATTTTTTTGGTCTCGTAACCCTTTTGTTGTTTCTAATAATATTTAATGTGTACAATATATTCATAGTATCTTATATACACGAAAACTAATATAAACACAGACAGACGTACATGTAGTAGTACTGTTGTTTCTAATAATATTTCATGTGCACAATATATTCATAGTATCATATACACGAAAACTAACAAACAGACACAGACATACACATACATACTACTTGTTTCTAATAATATTTAATGTGTACAATATATTCATAGTATCATATACACGCAAACTAATACAAACACACAGACACAGACACAAACATGTAGTAGTATTTGTTGCGGTTTTTCTGTCCATATGCAATTGTACTGTACATAACTAAACGGCGAATGTTACTGTGTTATAATGCACTGATGTCGAGCAACCGGAATGTCATAATATATCTGTTATCTTTCAGCCTTATCATGCATCGCCAAATGTACAAAGTTGACTAAATAAATGTAGTTAAATGAGAAATGAGTGTATTTAACCCGATGCTGTAGGATGTGGGAGAGAGGGAGAAATAGAGAGAGAGAGAGAGAAAGAGAGAAGAAGAGAGAGAGAGAGAGAAGAGAGAGAGAGACAGAGAGAGAGAGAGAGAGAGAGAGAGAGAGAGAGAGAGGAGAGAGGTGAGTGAGTGAGAGAGTGAGAGAGTGAGAGTGAGACACGATAGAGAAGAGAGAGAGAGAGAGAGGCGAGAGAGAGAGAGAGAGAGAGAGAGAGAGAGAGAGTGGGGGAGGGGTAGATAGATGAATAGATAGATAGATGAACAGATATAGAGTAATAGAGAGTAAGTGAAAGAGAATACTATAAACAACAAAAGGAGGAAGAAAATAAAATCAGATTTCAAAACTTTATTCACTCAATTTCTACTACAAGCACTAAACAAGATTATAAATATCCCTACAATTGTTTCCTTAAACATGATTTCAATGCGGCCTTTCAATAGGGCAAGATATACACGTAATAGCCATTCACATTAGTGTTCTGACATGGAATGCGTAAAACAATACAACTCTCATTCATATTTGCTCAGAGGCACAGGTACACCGCACTTCTGGAACTGTATACGTATTGTATTGTACAGTATTTCTGAAGCCAAGTTACTCACCATGGAGTACAGTGTCCTTGTATCTCAGACAAAGTAAATGGTTGAAGTTTTGTTATTCGCTCTGCACTGACTGAAACCAAGTTACTCCTTATTTTGATTGTGTTCATTTATCAACAGCAGAACAGTCATTCCAATACGAAGCAATAGATGCTAATGGCTAGTTGTACAATTGCTAAAGACTTACTGGGAATCGTTATAAGAAATACTGCGCGGTGTAAGTCAAATGCCATATGTAATTTCATAATCATATTCTTTAGCTCAATCTATGCGTGACTGACTCATCAATCTGATTAGCTACAGTTTATTGTTGGAAACCTATAAGATGAAAAAAATTCTTGATTTTTTTTTTTTTTTTTTTAAGAAGGAAAAAGAAAAGATGAGATTTTTTTTAAGAAGGAAAAAGAAAAGATTATGAGATTTTTTTTTTAAGAAGAAAAAAGAAAAGATCAGTCCTGAATCGTCTTCGCTGCCCAGTCGTCGTTTACAAGTCTTCCAAGGCGCCGGGGATGGAATGCGTTGGGGACTTCAAGAGGGAAGTCCTGGATCCTGCAGAGCTCGGCACGGAGAGGGTGTCCATCGAGGGGGCCTTCTCTACGTCCTTCGGGGGAGCCTTCTCGACGTCCTTCGGGGGAGCCTTCTCGACGTCCTTCGGGGGAGCCTTCTCGACGTCCTTCGAGTCCTTCGGTTTCTTCTTGTCGCCGGCGGGGAGGTCGAGGGCCTTCTTGTCCGTTCCCTTGGCCTCCTCCACGGTGTTCTTCCCGGTCAGGCCGATCTCCCGGGCCAGCCAGCGGCACTTCTCGACGATCTGCTCCTGCATCAGGTTGAGGCACATGGACAGCAGCGCCATGCCTGGGGAGGATGGGGAGGAGGTGAGGGGGGAGGGAGGGGGGGGGGAGGTGAGCAGGGGGAGGGACGGGGGGGGAGGTGAGCAGGGGGGAGGACGACAGAAAGGGAGGAGGAGGTCGAGGGGGACAGGGGGAGGGACGGGGGGGGAGGTGAGCAGGGGGGAGGGAACGGCTTTCCTGGGGAAGGAGGGATCCCCAAAACGTTCTTTCTTTTCTTTTTGTTTGTCTGTCTGTCCGTTTGTGTGCTCCGCGTGTGTGCTGGTGGTGTTTTGCGTGTGTGGGAGCGCGCGTGTGTGAGTGTGAGTGTACGTTAGCGCGTGTGCGTGTCTTTGTATGTGTCTGTTTGCATATGTGTGCGAGTGCATTCATATTTTTTCATCCGCCTGTATGATGGACACAGAAGTTGAAGACGATGCAAAGAGGAGAGGGGAGGGGGACGAGGTGCAAAGAGGAGAGGGGAGTAACGGAAAGAGAAAGGGAAGAGGAGAACAGAAAATAAAACACAACTAGCCAAGCAGACGACCCCAGACAGCCAGCCGCTCGCGCACTGACCTAGCAAGATGTAGGCGATGCAGACGGCCATCTTGAGCCCCGCTGTCCCGGGGTCTTCGTTGCTCAGCAGCGCCGTGCCGGGCACCATGTCCCCGTAGCCGATGGTGGAGAGGGTGACGAAGGTGAAGTAGGAGGAGGAGCCGAGGTCCCAGTTCTCCCACACGGAGAAGAGGACGGCGCCCAGCATGATGTACACGTAGAGCACCACCAGGGTCAGGGTGATGGGCACGTCCACTGCAAGGGCGGGGATCGTGAGGCGTGGTCACAGATCATGAGGCCAAGTGGGAGGGATTATGAGGCGAAGAATGCAGGGTTAATATAATGGTCTACGTAATCAACTAACAACAAATCGATACTGATAAATCGCAGACGATTTTTACCTGGTACTGAATTAATTAATTAAATTAAATTAAATTAATTAATTAAATTTAAATTTAATCAAAAAAAAATCAAATAACAGGCAAAAAAAGCAGAAAATCAACACAATAAACCGATACTGATAAAGCGCAGACGATTTTTACCTGGTAATGAATGAATAAAATAACGAATGGTTTAAAAACACATCAAATAACAGGCAAAAAAAGGAGAAAAAGTGTCAAAATAGGAGCTACACGGAAGAACGAAAATGTTACGTCCTTCCAAACTGCATTTCCAAAAAAAAAAAAAAAAAAAAAAAAAAAAAAAAAAAAAAAAAAAAGGAGGAATGCACGTTTAAAAAAAAGGTATCTTTTTAAACAACAAAAAAAGAGGAAATATCTTACATGTTCCGTCGGCATGTACTCTTCCTTTCCCACTTCGTCGTCAATCAAGAGCTTTCGTTGTTTCTTGCTCGCTCTGGGAGGCAATTCGGATAAGTTGCGGACGCTTCGGCACCATCGACAGCAGCAGCGACTGAGGAGCGAAGGGTGGAAGGGAGCCGGGTAAAGGTTTTTTGTAAATTATAAAAGAAGTACGAATAATACATTTATATGAATGAGCATATTATAAAGAAATAAAAATACATTTATTATTTGAATGAGCAAGGGAGATGGGTAAAGGTTTTTGTAAATTATAAAAGAAATGAGAATACATTTATTATTTGAATGAGCAAGGGAGATGGGTAAGGTTTTGTAAATTATAGAAATACGAATAAATTTATTATTTGAATGAGCAAGGGAGCCGGGTAAAGG